AAGTTCAAATATTTTTCTGTTTCTATTTCATCTGGTCTGTTCCTTGTTTTGGTGTGCTTGTTCCATCAGTTACTGAGAAAGCTGTGTTAAAATCAACTTGCTAGAATTGTGGACTTCACTTAGTTTCCTTGATATTGGCTGAAGTTTATTTAGAAAAAGTATGTTTTCACAGCTGCATAATTCAGTGTTTTAACAAACTTACATATGGGAAAAGTCAAAAATGAAATTTCAAATGCAGTTTGTAGAACATTAGAATCATATGTAGCCATTTTTGAAGCATGTGATGTCAACAGAGGGAATGTGCATCTCTGTTGCTGCTGGCAGTAAGAAAGAGGTTACAATATTAGAAGCCTTTGAACTGTTATCTGCCATATGTGTTTGTCTTTAATAAGTTTCTAATTGCTATTCATATTTGGCCCTTAATTTTGCTTAAATCTGTAGAAAGCGCAAAAATGTTGAGACAGTGTTAAATTGTGGCAAAGGAAACAAAGCCAGTGAGAAAGCTATCTATCGCATATGAAGTCATATATTTTACACCCTAACTATGATAATTACTGTAGTAAATGGACATTTTCTCTATTTCAGTAAGTTTTAAAAGAGAAATGCTTGGGGATTATGAATTTATATGTAACATAATTTTTCCTATTTAAGATATTGGAAAATAAGCTCCTGGTTAGGGTTTTGTGTAGAATATCTGATTTTCAGGAACAGATTCCTGACTTTAAGTGTTATTAGGTACATTCAAGTTTAAAATTGCTTTCTGGTGAATTGAACGTTTATTGTAATGAAGTCCTACTGTATCTCTATCCATGTATTTATTTTATGCATTAAAATCTACTGTGATAAAGTATAGCCACAAAACTTTGTTTTGATTTGTGTTCTACACAGTATATTGTTCTCCATGCTTTGACTTTCAGTCTTTCTATATCCTCATTTATTTAAGAGGTAATCATCTATAATCATCATATAATTGGGTTTTGTTTTTTTACATACAATTTGGATTATTAATTCATTTCCCCCCTCTATTAGCTTGTTAGCTTGAGTGAAATTTTACTATTCTTGCAGTGGTTACCCCAGAGATTACCACATGCATCTTTGATTTATTGAAGTCTGAAAAGTAAATAAGTATGTTTTCTGTTTCCCAGTAAATGAAAGGATTCTGGAACACTTTTAACTTTGCTTACTGTCCTTCCCAATTATGTGCTATTGTTCTTGTGTATTGTAATATTTAAAATTCGACAAAGTATTATTTTATTTAGTTATTATTCATTTAGAGTTACATATTCACCCTGTTCATTGTATGTATGTATGTATGTATGTATGTATGTATGTATGTATGTATGTATGTATGTATTTACTTACTTAATTTTTGAGGCAATATCCAAGCTGTATCTGGGATCTTTTTTTCCTTGTACTTGAAGAAGTCCCTTCAGTGTTTTCTGATGTTAAATTTGTTGTTTCTGTTTGACTGATAATGTCTGTATTTTGCCTTTTTTTTTTTTTTTTTTTCCCTGAAGAGTATTTTTTGCCAGATCTAGAATTCTACTTTGGGATTTCTCCCATTCCTGGCACTTTGAGAATATCATTCCACTGTATTTGGCTTCCATTACTTACATGAAAAAGTCAACTGTAAATCTTACTATTGCTTTTAAAGTTAATCTTTATTTTATTTTATTTTTTTGGCTACTTTTAAGGTCTCTCTGTGGCTGATCTTTCTTTGTGTGTGTCTCTCTTTCCCTCCACCCACCTTTTTTTCTCTGATATGCCTCAGTTGTGGTTTTCTTTGTATTTGTTTCGCTTGAGTGTTTGTAGATCTTGGATGTCATTGGTAAGTTTTTAACTATATGTCTTTAAATATTTCTTCCCCTTCTGGGACACTAATTACATGTATTTTGGATCCATGTTTTACTGTTTTTTCACACTTCTGTATTTCCCATTTTCATGCCCTTTTGGGCTTCAGTGTAGGTGTTTTCTTCTTTCCTATCTTATGGATTATTGATTCTTTCTTCAGCTGTATTCTACCTGTTGTTAAACTCATCAATTTTTTTATTTTCTGTCTTCAGTATTGTCCTTTTCAGTTCTATGTTTTCTATGCTTTTAGCATTGTATGGTAATATTCTTTTTTTTTAATTCTTTGAACACATTTACTTATTTTAAAGTTCTTTTCTCATAACACCATTATCTGGATCTACTGTGGGTCTAATTGTATTGCCATTTTAAAATCTTAGTTTTCAGTCAGGTCTTAACTGGTTATTTTTTTTACTTTTAGACATATAGAAATCATAAAATCATTTGAATTTCTAGATGATACTGTCTTTTTTCCTGGTAAGATTTACTTTTGCTAACATCTTTTCAGAAGATTTAACTGGCATGAGGCTAAGCTAATCACACTACATAGCCCAGATCACCTTAATCTAATCAGTGAATGAGATGATCTGAAGCTATACTGCCCTTGTATGGCCTGGTCTATTTCTAGTTTACCTTTATACTGAGGGCATAGTCCTTTGGATCCCTCCAGAATCCTGGTGTGTTTACTGGGGCTATTCCTTGGTAGGCCCTAAATCTGTTTTTGTATCCCACCCATAGATCTCTTGAAACCTCTGTTTAGCTTCTCAGCCTCTCAGTCAATGTTCTAAGAATCTGCAAATGACTAGAGGGATATATAGTCTGGAGTCTGGTCTTAACCTATTTCTTCCAGATCTCAACCCTTCAATTCTGCCTTAAAAGTTCTCCAGTGATTTTAAACAGATTAATTTTCTTCTTTTTTTCTCATTCTTAGAATAAGTTGGTTTGAAGTAACCTACTCAACCATTGTCAAAAGCTAAATGCTCAAATAATGCAGTGCTGCATATACCTTCTAGGCATTAGTGTTGAAATGTAGGAGTATTTATGTTGCCTACTACACTGCAAGTTTTTGTAACGGTAATTGGATGCAGCTTGATCTGTTAGGGAACATGATTTGAATAAGCTGACTTTTATTGGTTTATATTACGGTCTCCTGAGAAAACAAAAACATTCTACAGCACAGCTGCTTGTTTGATTGGTTCCCACCAGTGACTTGCCATCCTTCAGTTTCTCTGTTTCCTGCTTCCTCTTGTCATGGGGCTTTTGCACATGCTATTCTCTCTGACTAGTGTGTACACTCTCATACTCAGGTTTGGGTATGAGGCACATTCTCAAGGAAGCCTTCCCTAACTTGTGAATTTAGGTCAGATAAATGAACTTCCTCATTTTGATATGTACAGATTCATTTATATATAGTTTGGTTAATGTCTGTTTTCCCCTACTAAACTGTGAAATCTGTGAGATCAGAAATCATGCCCCCCCCCCCCCACCTTTTTGGACCATTTTACCCTATGTGCCTAGTACAGTGTCAGGAAGTACATTTTTTTGCAAGTACATGATCAATTAATAGGTTATCACTTGTTAATAGATGTTCAATCAATGTTTATGTGAATGGAGAAATGAGTATGAGGGAAGATATGTAAGAAATGCCATGCTTGTGGTAATAATGGTACTGATAAGAATTGAAAAACTCATGCTTTTGAGCAAAAGCCAGGTTTTTTTTTTTTTAATTTTTTTTTCAACGTTTATTTATTTTTGGGACAGAGAGAGACAGAGCATGAACGGGGGAGGGGCAGAGAGAGAGGGAGACACAGAATCGGAAGCAGGCTCCAGGCTCCGAGCCATCAGCCCAGAGCCTGACGCGGGGCTCGAACTCATGGACCGCGAGATCGTGACCTGGCTGAAGTCGGACGCTTAACCGACTGCGCCACCCAGGCGCCCCAAGCCAGGTTTAATCAAACATGGATTTGCTGGGCAGTACAATTGAAGTTTTATGGATATACATGCACAGTATTAAAAATACTTTAATAGAATTCCACTGAGCATTTATTATTGTGAATGTTTTAGCATTTGTCTTCCATGCCCTTGTAAATATTTTATTATGTAAGTTTTGGAAACATTAGGTTTTTGACAAAACTATTATTCAGAACATGACAGATTATATCATTGCCAGTCGTTCAATTACAGAGATAAATGGAATAAAAAAATCCTGTTCTTGAAGGATTCATAGTCTCAGAGGAAAATGGACTTGGAATTTGTCATACACATACCCACAAAGTAAGGTGCTATCGTTTACTCTATCAGGGGGAAATGAATCTTGACTGATTAGGAGGATTTTATTAAATGGCTAAAGGAACAGTATTTCATTTAAGTGGATATTATTATGAAATCGTATAGTGCCTTTGTGGGTTGACAGATAGTAATTTTGGTGGTGGCTACGACAGTTTGCAAGAATAGTGTGTCAAGGTAGATTGGGGCTACCCAGATCATCCTTTGACATGGAGGCCATCAGAAACTTTCAGGGATTTTCTATAATGTTAAAGAGAAGTTTCGAGCCAGAGTCCCTGAGTTCATATTCCAAGCTCTGCCCTTTTCTGTGTGTGACTTTAGAAACATTACTGAGCATCTCTGTGCCTCAATATCCTTATTTATACAATGGAGATGGTAATTGTAACTAAGAAGATTTCAGTTTGGATTGAATGAGTTAAGACATGGCAGGTACTTAGAAAAGTGCCTGGCACATAGAAAAATCCCAGTAAGCATTGGCTCTTGTTGTTGCTATTATTATATATATTGAGAAAAACTCGAAGGTTATATATAATTGTACTCTTTTCAGCCAGAGCTAGAGGCACTAAAAGATTCAAGAGATATTTTAGGGGTAAAGTTAAAAAAGCTTCAACTTAATTACCAATTTTATATAACCAGGAATTTCAACTAATAATGCTGCCCATGTGCAGCATAGAAGCAGGTTTGAAATTTGTATAACATTTTCATGATTTGCACACTTATAGAACTTAAATTTTCTAATTTGTGTTTTCTTTTAGATCTTATAGAAAATTTCAGCTGTAGCCCTTGGACTAGAAGCTGAAATAATAGAAGCTGTGTACGATGCATTAGGGTATTGAAGAAAATTAATTTTGAATTAAATATTTGGAATATAAGGAAGGAAAGGTGACTGAAAATGGGGCGGAAGAAAATACAAATCACACGCATAATGGATGAAAGGAACCGACAGGTAAATGAAAATTTTAACTTATTTATTTAATTGATGTGAATATTTTTTAAAAAGGATCATAGGGTAGATTGGTTTGAATTTTTCTTAAACTTAATTTCAAGTCTAAATATTTTTATTTCCAAACTAAATAAAAAATTTTAATAAACATTTTAGCTTGTCATGTGTCTTAAACTTTTTTTCCTTATTATAGAAATCATAGATGTTAATTATAGAAAACAGGGGAAAAAGAAGAAAAGCAAGATCACTGTAGTCCCACTGTTACTGTCAATTATGTAGATTTATCATAATATATTTGTTTATGTATTGGTCATTATTATAAGTTATCACCTCTGTTTTCATAATTAGGTAATACCTAAGTTAACTGTAGTTATCAGTGCATGTGTTTTGGTCAGTTAAATTTTCTGGTTAACCAAGAAATAAAATTCTTTTTCTAACTCATCACAAACATTTCTAAAGCTTTTATGTATTTATCTCAGTTTTAATTGATAAAACATACCAAACCTAATTTTCAGCACCAATGTCAATAAACTCTTACAAGTATTCAGGATAATTATAATAATACTGATATATGAAGTGAAGACCAGAAGTTGTAAGAGTTTAGAGCAGGGATTTGCAAACTATGGACCATGGTCTGGTTGGCTGTTTTGATAAATAAATCATTAGAACACTGCCATGTGCATTTGTTTACCTATTGTCTATGGCTGCTTTCACATTACAACGACATAATTGAGTAGGGGCCCTGGAGACTGCATGGCCCATAGGCCTACAATCTTTAGTCTCTGGCCTTTAAGAAAAAGTTGCCAAGCCCTTGGTTTAGAAAAAAGAAGGAAAATGGTTTCATAGAATATTGTAAATGAACTAGTATTCAGAGCATATGTAGGAGGGAGAGATGCTGTCTCTGGAAAGGTTGCCTGTCCGGGGAAATGTCTAGAAAAGCTGGTTTCTGGAAGCTTACCAAGAACAGAACAGTATTAAAGACATGTTCTGCAAAGTCTGAGTAGTAATTCACTTGGTAATACAGTTATAATTGTAGACCAAACTCAGCTGAGCTGCTAGTAGAGAAGTTAGTGGAAGTGATTAGAGTTGCCTATAGACCAAATTAAAGAGAACCGTTGTTTCATCTAATGAAGATTCTTTAGCTAAAGGGTAAGGCTCACACAGTATGATTCTTTATGAAGGTTGATAAAATAGGGAAGACTGATAAAATAACCATTCCATCATTCCAAAGGGATGGTTCTAAGCAAGGTTGCAAGTAAATGTCCCTTCATAAACTTGAAGATTGTGACCTGTAGATGAGGCACATCTCTACACCTTATATTGTGTGTGAAACACACACAATATAAATGTAAAATATGTTTATTAGGGAATAACATAAAAGCAGAAACTGGCAAAGCACATAACATTCCTTAGACTCTCTTTATCCCTTAGAGAGTCGTGTTTAAATTCAGCATAGGTACACTGGATCTACCAGTGGAAAAGACCCCACATGTTTAGAGGAATATGATGAATAGGAAAAGGGGAGCTAGGATTATGTAAGTAACAGTGTAAAGAATTTGTTAATTAAGGAAATGATCTTGTTTAAAAGATGGAGGCTGCCACTATAACTCAGCAACTACAGTTAGCCTATTAATATGTTGAATTTACCTGCTAGGTCATCTTCTTGCCAAGCTGCCAAATGGGGCAAGGGTGCCTGAATGTTTTCTTAGATGATTTTGGCCAAGAATGCAGAAAAGAAACAGAATAGGTAGTTGGGCAATTGATTTTTCAGATTTGATTAGGCAGAGACATAATTTATCATTTTGAACTTGTGGATTCTGAGTTAAAAGTTCCATTATTCTTGCATTAAAATGGGAAAAACGTTTCTGTGCAGAAGAGAATTTATGTCATTTATTCATCCACATTTGAATACCTACAGATTCTGGGAGAGACTGTGTTAAGCACTGGGAACTCATTAAAAATATATAGGCAACACAGAAGATTTAACTATATGGCAAACAGAAGGTAAGCTTAGGTGATGGGAGAGTTTATGGAAGGAAGCACCAGCCTCTGGTTGGGGTAGTTCAGGGAGCAGTACAGAAGGAGGTACAGCATATACAGGTTTTAATGATTGGGTTTTTTGAGCTAGTAAGATAAAATCACACTTCAAGTCTTTAGAACAGTGAATGAAAAATCTCGGTGGTGACACTATCATGCACTTAACGAGCTGCTTCACTTCACTTCCACTTGGAAGCTTTCATTCACTTCACTTCCATTTGGGAGTTTCTGGTGAAACCTTGTGTTTGTCCTTCTTGGTGTAATACACTTCTATTTAACAAGTAAACTTTGTATTAAAGTATAAAGAAAAGAACACAAGTCCTAACTGTGGCTGAGTGAATTATTGCAAAAAGTACATGGCCATGTAGCCAGCATATCCCAGTGCACCACCACCACAGAAACTCTCTTTGTCATGTCTCCCCAAGTCATTACCTCTCTGCCCCACTAACCTAACTTCTGACACATAGATTTATTATGCTTGTTGAGTTTATGTGAGCAGCATGTGTTCCTTTGTGCAACATCATGTTTGTGAAATTAATGTTACTGTTGCATGTCATGTAGATATATTTGGTACATTTTCATTAACAAATAATATTCCATTGTGTGGATAGACCACAACCTGGATTCTTATTTTTTCTATTGTAAATGGACTTTGGGGTTGTTTTCTGTTTTGAGACTATTATGAAGAGTGCTCTTTTGATTAGTCTTATGTGTGTCTTTGGTACACATGAACATTTGGGTATATTCCGAGGTGTACAGGTTAAGTCAGAGTATACCTGTGATCAGCTCTAATAGCAAGAGTTTTCTAAAGTGATTGTGCTGATTTATAATTTACACTAACGGTGTGTGAAAGTTTCAGCTGCTCTAAATCTTCACCAATACTAGTTTTTATCCCTTTCCTTTTAGCTATTATGGTAGGTGAGCAAAAGTAACATTTTAATTTTAAGTTTCTGTGATTTTTGATGAAGTTGATCACTTTTTCATATTTTTTATGAAAAGATGTTTACTGTTTACTTCATTTTTTCCCCCTAGTGGGCTACCTGACTATATTTTTCTTATTAATTAGTATACATTCTGTGTATAATATGATGTGAGCGTTTTGTTCATTATGTACATTACAAGTAACTTCTCATACCATGGCTTGCCTTTTCACTTTTTCATTTTTCTTTTAATGTTGTCCAGTTTGCCTTCCTTTTTTTCCTTTATGGTTAATGCTGTTTGTGTTATGTTGAAGAAATATTTACTTACCATGATGATTTTCTTCCTATGCTTTTTTCTGTTTTTTACCTTTCATGTTTTGGATCTGTTACCCATTTGGAATTTATTTTTGTGTGTGATTTGAGGTTTGGGGGTCAAGATTTGTTTTCCTGATGGATATTCAGCTGATCCAGTACAGTTTATTGCAAAAACCATCTTTTCTTCACTGCTTGCCTTTGTCATGAATCAAGTAATCATACACATGTGGGGCTGTTTCTTTGGAGAAATATCTATTCAAATCTTTGCCCAATTTGCTTTTTATGGAGTTATATCATCTTCGTTCTGAAAAGCTGTTTCCATTGGTTATAGATTTCTAGGTGGACAGTTAATAGTCTCTTGATACTTTAAAGCAATTGTCTTTTAACTTCTATCACTTACATCAATTTCTTTGGAGAGACCAGCTTTCAGTAACCAACCCCCCCCCCCCCCCCACTTTTTTCAAGATAATGCATTTTCCCCCCTCTGGTTACTTTTAAGATTTTTACTTTTTCGTGGGTAGTAAATTTTTTATTGTGCTGTCTTCAAATATTTTTTGTGCTGGATTCTTTCCTCCTCTGGGATTCCAGTTACATGTAACTTAGTCCTTTTGACTATGTCTCATATATTTCTTATGCTTTTTTTCTCCTAGAATTCTTACTCTTTTTCTCTGTCCTTCCCCCTGAGTGTCTTGTAGCGAATGGCCTGTTTTGTAGTAATCTGTTTTCTGTGCTCTAGTAATCTTTTACTTAGTTTTTTTTTTAAATTAGCTATTAACACACCTAGTAACAATTTCTAGTATTATGTTTTCAATTATAGAATTTCTTTTTGTTTTTCTTTTTACAGATTTCAGGTCTCTGGTGAAATGGCCCATCTTTTCATGTATTTTATCCAGTTTCCACTATTTTTTGGAAAATACTAATCATAGAGTTTTTTTGTCTGCTAATTCCTATATCTGGATTACCTGTAGCGTCATATGTGATCCCCTTTTCTCTTTGTTTTCAAATATATGGTCATTTTTTCTGACATGTCTTAATGGTTTTTTATGAGCTATTAGACACTGTATATGAAAGATATAGATATTCATTATTATGGTACTTTCCTGCAGAAATGATTTAACCTTCCCTCTTACCATTGAAATTAGGTACTGAGTATCTTACTTAGACCAACTAGAAATTGACCTGAGTGGAAGCTAGGCTGCAGTTTTGATGAAGCTTTTGATTGCCCTTAAAGGAGGCTACTTTTGGGAGTAGTCTTTCAAAGCTTTCAACATTGATACCAGTGTGTTCTTGGGGCCCAGTCCTTGGAGGATTTCTTAAATTTCTTGTTTTCTCAGCATTGGAAGATTACAGAAAACTCCTCTCTACTTTTTTGAGGCTTTCTGCTTTTCTTTTTAACCTCCTACCCCATGCAGCCTCAGAGTGACCACCTCAGCTTCTACTCCTCCCTTCTCACTAGTTTATTGACCCCTGGAGTCTTCAGTTTTGTGTTTTCAAAACCTAGGACAAAAGCTCTGTATCAGAGCTCTGTATCCACTGTGCAAACAAAGGCTGGAAGCTTAGTTGCCCTGTACCCAGCATCTGTAAAGGCTGGTAGGGGAAAAGCTGCCACAGAACACCGTTTTACATCAGGCAGGTTCTCACCCCTCTAGAATCTTGGCATCGTAAATCCTTCTTCCTTCAACAGCTTTCCAGGGTCTTTAAACAGGTCTCTTTTGTATTTTATTTTGTTTA